GTCCATGCAGTCAGAGGATCGTTTCTGGCCGGTGCTGCTGCCCTGACGCTTTTGTCCCCTTTGAGACCTACTACACCGCACTGTCGCCTTATAACCACCCTTCTCATCTTTCAAAATCGGAATACTGAGGCCCTTTCGGATAGCCAAGACATCATCATCCTTGTCGTCAATGCGAACTGTCTCGTGATGATAATACCTTGCGACATTCTTGACCCCTTTCACCATCGCCTCTCGCAGCAACTCTCCTTCCTCAATGCATTCCGGATATTGCCAGGAGTCCTTGACAACCAGCGGCGTCCGTGATTTGTCTGTCTCACAGTATACCTTCCAGCAAGTTGTGGCTCGCCCGGCAACACAGCGTGCTCGTCCAACAATCTCATCGATGATCAGCCGTTCCTTCGTACCGTTCTTCTCAATTTCGATATACCGTTCGGTTCCGGTAGCGACGATGGTAGGATCAAACCCAAGTTGTTTCCGGCTCATCAAGAGGAATCCAAGGATAACAGACACAAATCGAAAGCCGTCCTGGTTGATATTGAATTCCTCCGACGCGATCCCGCCCAGACGGTCAAAGTTCCACAGTCGTAGGAACGGCCCGCAGAGGGTGAACCCAAGCACAAAACGACGGGTGTCCTGCGCAGCAAGGACCTCTCGGGCGTACCTACCAAGATCAAACCATGCACCGGATTTCCTGTCGTATTTCGGGTCATTTTTCAGCTCCCCTGGCACCAGGATCTGCGACCAGTGACATCTGGAGTCCTCTGTGGCTGTCAGATCATCGACAAAGCCGACATCGAGCTTTCTCTCCGCGACAGACCCTTGTAGTGGCTGGCTTGGCTGTGCAAGAGGTCTGCGGTCGATCTTCCAGGACGGCTCTTGTGCTTCGGCTAATCGTACGAGCTCAGTGATGATGTTAGCCAGCCATTTCAGAACATCTCTTTCTGCTGCAAGTTCAGGCCAGCCCTTCCAGCCCTCGTCTTCACAGTAAAGGGGGCTGTCTCCCTTCTCACACTCCTCCAACACCGCTTGTGAAACTGCAGTGAGTTGTGGAATGTCTCCAAAGCACACATCAAAGAATCTAGGGATGTCGACGTGTATCTCCCCAAGTTCCTCCTTCAGCACATTGTCAACATGCTTTCGATATTCTGTAGAATTGATGAAACTGCTAGTGTTGCGTAGCTAGGGCGTCTGTTGGATTGATGATGTAGGATGAGGAGGAGGGGGGGGGGGGGGGTGCCTCCCGAGACGGTGCCCATAAAACCAAAGACGGGGTTCCAGACATCGAAGTTCCAGGTTTCGACGTTCTGGGATTCAGTCGGAGGCCTTTGAATAACCAGGTTCACCAGCGGCCGGTAGTCGTCGTACTTGAAGTTTTCTTGTGCCTTTCGGAGACGCTCGACTAAGTGTGCTAGATCAGACACCATATCCCCGTTACTCATTCGCGAGCGAAGGCTGTAAGCGGCATCCTCTCCCTGTAAAGCAGAGAGGAGTTTTGAAATCGCATTTCGATAGAGTTGGTCAAGGCTGTCATCAGCGCCATTATAGGAAATTAGACGCGACTCATATATTCTTTCGGCTTCCTGAAGCACGCCCCGTAAACGATCGACCGAGTCGGTTAGAGGATGGTTCTTGATAATGTTGCGATCTTCCTGTGAAAGTCCCGCCATTTTGACGGTATAAAAGACCGTTGAGTCAGTGTAAGATTAACTAGGAGTTGTAAGGGGAGAAAAATTAGGTTGATATGCTAATATTATGTGAGAAGCAAACAGGGGAACAAAAATGCAGAATTGTTAGGAAGTTATGATGTATGATACCTGCGAGAGAAGATAGCTCGTTGGGAACAGATGCTGATATATATAATCACAGGGAGGATTATGGTAGCCGGATAGAACCGCCGAGCAAGGAACCAGGTGAAGATTAATCCTATTTGATCGCGACGGAATAGTACATAATAAGCGCGAACAAAACAGGGGGATTGATAAGAGTATTTTGAGGAAGGCCGGCTATTCCCATTTAGGATTAAAACAGGCCAACCAACCCGTCGTGTGGGAGATGTGGTAAGAGTGTGCTGGCTGTCAGAGAAGACGCAGTCTAAAACAAGGCTAGTATAACCGATTAAAATGAAATATCATGTGTTCTAGGATGAAATGGTACTTTGGCGACTTAGGTCAAACTGGATTACAGTATTTTGTACAATTGTTTCCTAGTGGTGAGGGATTGCAAAGAGGGATTTAGTGATTTTTGTATCGGGGGGACAAGCCTCTATATCGGAATGATTTGTTTTTTAGTTACGTTTCCAAATCGAACTGAA